GCAGAGAGCCTGTCCTTTGCCATTCATTTTCTCACTGACATCCTAAGGACTTCTCTGCTGCAGGGGCAATTATTTCTGTATGCCAGTTCCAGTAATGTTGAAGTATTATCTCTGCATGGGACCTTTTAATTTTTGCAGTGGAAAAGGCTTTCCTTTTTGCCTTTGCTTTATAATTTTTTTATCCCTCCCTGCGATATGTTTTGTAATATACCATAATATATCAACAGCAAAGAAATGTCATGCAGGTCATATTTCATGCTTCTTGATAACCTTTTTCTTTTTTAAAAAGCTTTTGTATAGATTCCTGTTTAAAAAGGAAAGGATTCTGGTTTTGTACATTTCGAAGATAGTTAATAAGATGCAGTTTGATTGTGTAGTAACTACAAGGGGGTGGACAACTTTTAGCTCTGCTGAGATACATTTGCTGGCTAAATACAAATAATCTATTTGAGCTCCGTGTTTTGTGTTGTTCCTTGATCCCCCTGTGCTGTCCCACAGCTCCCGGTGCAGTTGGCAGAGGGGGAATGGCTGTGAGAGCTTGTGGCTTGATCATCTACAGGAGGCTGCAGCAAGCACCGTCCTCCAAGGTCGCTGATAGCATCGAGTACCTCCTCCTGCAGACATCCTACGGGACCCACCACTGGACCCCGCCAAAAGGTGATGTTTGTTCTGATAACGCACTTTGTTCTGATAACACTCTCGGTGTGAGGTTGCAGACTGGACTTTGGCCCAGTGCTGCTGAGCTCAACTTAGAGAGGCAGTTACCAGCCCAGAGTAGCTGCTGATTGTTGTGTTTGTCTGATGCTGCTGCTCCTGCAGCTGCGGGGAGAGTTTTGAGGCTTAAGTCGTTTGCAAAGGATACTGTATAAAGTATTGGGCACGACTAATTTCGGTTGGGGCTGGGGGTGACACCCAGTCGTGCTCCTCATTTATCTCACGTTTCTAGCAGACATTCAGCACACAACTGAGGTAGCAAATGAATTTTTTACCTTTTTGCTCAGATCTGATCCTCTGTTAGGTACCATTGACCAGGTTGGTTGACCCGTGTCGGAGGGGTCACAGTCTGCAAGAAGGCAAACTGAAGTCTGCAATGGTACACTTTAAAACACTTTTCTTGGAAGTTGCAGGAATTCCTTGTAAGGGACATCACTGGTGAAAATCGAATGCCTAATGCAGTGGAGATGAGAGGCACAGATAAGGTGAATACTCCTGTCAGCCATCTTTGCCTAAGCCATCAGTGCTCATCAGTGAGGTCCCAAAGCAGAAGACAAGCCCCAGGACAAAGAGCAGCACTTGCTCTGTAAAGAAAGGTGGCAGAGCCAGTGTTTGGCAGTATGCAGTCACAGCCCTGATAACCAGGAAAAGTGCAGCACAGAAATACTTCAGGTCCCTTGCAGGTCTTCTTACACGCTGTTTTTTACCCTCCCAGATTTCTTCCTGATGGTTTTCACTTATCTTTTTGTAAAATGCAGTGCTTTTAAAGCCTACTGCAGCAGTCTGTATATGGGAATTTGCAAATTGGGAAAAAAAATAGTCTTTTAACAGTACCAGCTACGCTCTCCTATTAAGGGAAAGAAGAAAACTTTCCAAACCTCCCCCTTTATCCACTTCACCAAAAGCCTGAGGGAGTTGAGTTTGCAGCCTCATGGAAAACCAGAAAACTAAAAGACATGATTGATTGTTGTGAGAAGAGACGCATGTGAAAAGGCTCCCTGGGAACACGGTAATTGAAGAGAAGCAATTGAAATTACTTGGAGGCATTTTGGTAGGGAGTTAATTGTATCGTGGGGATACATCTCACACACTCAGAATCACAGAACCATTGAATGGTTTGGGTTGGGAGGGACCTTTAAAGATCATCTGGTCCAACCACCCAGCAGTGAGCAGGGACATCTTCAACAAGAGCAGGTTGCTCAGAGCGCATCCAGTTTGGCCTTGAATGTTTTCAGTTGTGGGGCTTCCACCACTTCTCTGGGCAGCCTGTGCCAGTGTTTTCACCACTCTCATGATAAAAAAAAGTCTTTCTTGTCTGTAGTCTGAATCTTCCCATATACATTACTTGTCTGTGATGTTGACATAGATTCAATGTGGCAGGAGCCAGAAGGTGACGTTGTAATTGTCTTTCCAAGTGCACACGAAAGGCAGTTTACAGCTACAGCTGTACCTTGTTATTTTAAAAGTTCCCTAAGCAGCTGCAATCCTATGGGATTAAACTGGACTTGCTTGGATTTCCCCATGTGAAACTCATCAGCCTCATCTCTGCCCCTAGAACTGTGACTTTGCACTAGCCCAGGCTGATGGGAAGGGAAAGGGATGTGGGGTTTGTTTTCCTCCTCAATATGTTGGAACTGCATCAGTGGAAACAGCTGGGAGGATCTGAAAGCTGTGGTGCGAGCTGCTACCACCAGTCCTTTTTCTCCCCAGCAGGTAGACTGCATTGTGCAACTTGGAAACTTACTGAGCTTCTATCTGAGGTTATCAACAGATATCAACATCAGATACTGTTTTCTGCACAGTTGCTGCTTGTAAGAGAAGCACATTTTGCATTTGAGTTGGTGTTATGTTGTAAGAGGTATTTAAATTTCTGGTGCACAGACAAAGAAGTGAGTGAGACCTGTTGCAAAAGCAAAACCAACTTCCCACATACCCCAGTTGTAGTACTAGAGTGGGCCTTTGGGTACCTGGGACCTGAGGAAAGATTCATCTCTGTAATTAAATTATGGATATTTGCAGCCAGCTATGTAGAAAATTGAGTGACACCAGAGGCAAAATAAAGCTTAGGGTTTTTTTTTTCCCTTTTGAAACCTCCCAACTCCTGCTATGTTGCTTTTTTGAGGTCTTGCTTGGCTTGTTCTATTTATGTTCTGGTCTGGAGCTTCCATGAGAAAACCAAATCTGACATTTCTCAACAAAAGTACAAACGGCTGGGGATGTGTTATATTTATCCGTTGTTTGTAGTGGCACCTCTCGTTCTGAGCAATGTAAAATAAATGATGTGTCTTAGGAGAACCACGCAGCTGGTGAAAGGTCTGGCTCTGAGGATTCAGAGGGGGAATATGGGAGAGAGAGTATTCATGGGGGAATATGGGAGAGAAATAAAAAAGATGCTGACTGCATAGATGAAACTCACCTTTTAAATGGGCATTTGTTGGTCCCGTTGTTTCTGGTCTTTTGGCATGAGTGAGAGTTTTGCAGAACTGAGCCTTAAGCTTATGTGGGAAGGCAGGGTTGAGAGAGGATTAAGAAGACTCTTGCAGATGAGCAGTCTCCCCTCTAACAGGATGAAGGAAAAACGTTCGTTAGGGACTGGATCCTCAGTATAATCTAAGGTGGAGCAGGTGTAAAGTGCTCCAGAAGAGGAGAGGAGGACTGGGAGGAAAACATGTCTAGTGCTGACAGGCCACTGGGGGTTTCAGAAGGTATGGGCTAAACAGTGATCCTAAAAGCCAGAAGGCAAAGACAAATCAAGACATAAGAGTTGGAAAAGCAATCTCTGCTCTCCGAATTTCCATTTCATCCCATATCAGCTGCAGTGTGCTCCCATCTCTGTCTCCCAGTGTTTCACAGTTGTTGACTGGAAGTTTCCTTCTGAGAGACTGACTTTTCCACCCCCTTGGCAGGCCATGTGGACCCAGGTGAGGATGACCTGCAGACAGCCTTCAGGGAGACGCAGGAGGAGGCTGGTCTGCAGGCCAGCCAGCTCACCCTCGTGGAGGGCTACAGGAAGGAGCTGCACTACCCTGTCCGTGGCAAACCCAAGACCGTGGTTTACTGGCTGGCAGAAGTGAAGGACTGCAACACAGAAATAAAGCTGTCGGAGGAGCACCAAGCTTTCCAGTGGCTGAAGCTGGAGGATGCTTGCAAATTGGCAGAGTATGAGGACATGCAGGCAACGCTGAAAGAAGCGCATCAGTTTCTCTGCTCCAAAGAATAAGTTCTTCTGTGAAGGATAAGGGGAATTTCTGAAGGAAAATGGTCTGGGGATTTTTGGGTTTTTTTGGTTTGTTTTTAAATTGGAGGAAGAACTACATGGCTGCAGAAATGTAGATTCCTCTGCTAATTCTGTAGAAATTCAGTGAAGATACGTGGAGCTTTTAAAGAGCTCGTGCTTTTGTCTTGTCTAGCTAACACAAAAGGGCATGATCTGATTGAAACGTGAGCCAGAGGTGTCTGAATTGAAACCTAGATCTAACAAAGACTTCCTCTGTCCCTGTCTCATTTTCTTCCTTTTTTTAAAATTTTTTTAATTTTTTCCTCCCTTGAAGTGCTGAACAACCACAGGTCTTTTTGAAAAATGAAACACTTGATGTATCTTGACTTGCTGATGTAGAGCTACAGAGTTGAGAAAATGAGCATATGGAGATTTTTAATAACAGAATTCTTGCTGCAAAAGTCACACCTTGCATTTCAAATGAGGAAGCAGTAGTTCTGTTCCCAACTCCTCCACTGATATGCTGTGATCACTTGTCAAATCATTTCAGGTCTTGTTTGTTCATATCATGAATTTATGTAAATCCCTAATGTACTGTTATTAGAACATTTTCCATCCAAAAAGTTAGTAAACGGTTGAGGTACAGTTGGTTGAGATGGTAAACCTGAAGGTCTTCTTTGGCCTCTTTCTTTTAATTTTTTGATCTTTAACAGACATCTTAGCCATACATTTTTCAGGGGGGTGAGAAAGGGAAATCTATGTAGTTAATACATTTTCTGTACAGGATATTTAAGCTTATGTGCAATCTGTTTAATACTATCTGTGTTTCTGTGGCTGCAGCCACTCATCTTTTGGTACAGTATCCATTAATAATGTTAGTACCAGTGTGACCGGAGTGCCTTGCTCATTACTCTGTTATCTCCCTGTGGAGAAATTTATAAAATCCTTCTTATAGGGCATCTTTATATATATGTATGTATATATACATGCATACGCACAAAAAAAGGATGCACTCTAAGGAGGCTTTTATACAGATACATATATACACACATAAACAACTTCAATGTCCTCCACTTTACAGTCAAGTTTTATTTTGATTATGAACACTGTTCAGAAGCATTTCACTCTGGTAGTCGCAGAAGTGGAAGCACACAGGCTGTGCGATTGATCTGAGTGTTTCTCAGCTAACTTCAGAACCAGAGGATGGAAGGTGAATCCCACTGTCACAAGGTCCAGCCCCATGGCAGAATCAGCTATTTTGGAGTCTTTCCTGATGTATGTTTGGCCAATGTTCTTTCTAAGACCTCTCCTGATGAAGACTCACACCTTCAGTTCCTCTGTCCATACCTGGCAACATTTGGTCTCTAGCATCTAATGTGAGTAAACTAGTGAGAAATAACAAAAACCTACAGACAGGGTGAGAGAAGAGTTAAAAGCCTGTGCTGCTTCAGTCTTGTTTTTTCATTACTGTTTGAGCTACCATTTAATCAGTGCTGTGTAAACAATAGTGTTGCTGCCTTCGTGTTTATGAGCAAGATTAGCATATTAAGTACGAGTTACAGAGAGTCATTAACAAGTCATCGGTTCTGCCCATTCAGCAGTAACGAACATATGTACTTGTTGTTTTGGAAAGCTAGGAGCTGAACTCCAAGCCAGTATTTCTCTTTTAAAGGCACTGCTTACTCAGTGTTCCCAAAGTGTGTGCAGATTTTGGAGGGTGACCGGTGCTGTGCACTGTGAGGTGATGTGCTCCTTGGACTAAATTTCAAAGGCAGGCATCTTGACTCTGGTAGAAGAAGGTATAAGGGATGTAACTGTGATAATTGGTGAGGCACTTCTTGTGCATTTTGAGATATTTATGTACAGAATACATTCCCACAAATTTTCTAAGTAAAATGATGCTTGCACATTTGAAACCTTGACCCCAAAGTCTTTGAATTTGTTTTAAAGTGGAAACATTTAACTCTGTCAGAATTTAACTCTGATTCTTTTTTGTGTCCCTTGATCACTGCTGAAGAAAGAGTTCTTCCTCTGCCCATGTCTAGTAGTAAATTATTTTTCCAAGGAGCATCTGGGAAACCCTCCAGTAAATAATTAAGGAATAATATGCCTGGGGAAGACATTTATTTCTGACCTCAGCAATTTTCATGCTCTGAACCCAATAGGGCTTTTATTTTCTTCCTTGAGAACAGTTAAGTTTTTGCTTGTAATAGTATCTCATGGCAGTAAACCTTTTACCAAGCTGTGGATCTATATTTAAAAAGAAAAATTTAAAAAAGGAAGAGACTTTAAATTCCCTAGAGGAACCTTATTTCTGCCATAGGTTAAATAAAGTCAAACTCAGTCCAAGCTACACTGAAATAGCAGAACAACCTAATTTAGGTAAAGTGAAAAGAGTTGTTCTAGTAAGAGACATGAGGATATGGTTTTCCTTGCTCTGCTGAACGAATACACTGACACAGCTCATACCTGTAATTTCCTGGTGTTAGTATTTCTTTGTCCAAGTAACTCCTGACTTCTAGCTATGATTACATCATCTCAAAATCAGAGAGAAGAAAAGCATAAATTCGTGAATATTAGGAAAGCACTAAGACATTGCAAGTTTCACCGAGAAAAGGCCAGAACTGAGTGTGACAGTCACAGGTAATTACGCTCAAACAAGAAGTGTAAAGGCTGAAAACAGTGTCTTAACTCCTGCATAGAAAAAAACCCCAAACTATATTACTGCTCTGATGGGAGCAATATATCTGTTCATTGACTATTTCATGTGATTATAGGAGATCAGAGACTGAAGCTGGTATAACGTGGCTCTATATGCAATATCCCCAACAAGCATGACCGACGTTACCTGCCAGTCTATTTAATAAAAGAGGATGTGTGTTTTAATAAGGTTTTGTACATCCTAAATAGGGAAGTATTTGGAGAGACACATGCTCTCTCAGCAGGGCTCTTGCAGACATGCAGAGAGGACAATGGACTGCTGCCTTTTAAGTTAGAAAAATTGCTTGCTGTTACTTAATTGACAGCTTAGTGGGGGTGAGTATTTTGGCAGATATCCGGAGGAGACTATAATTTTTTGAGTCCTGAAAGTAGTGCTTATTAATTATATTCTCACACTGACAACATAACCGACAGGCTCCTGTACCTGTTGGCAGCTAGTTTTATCTTAAAAAGAATTTATGGATCATCAGGATTTCATTTTTTTCTCTTATACCTTATCTTCAAAGATTTACTTGTTCATGTGCTCAGTAATCTAGAATTTTGGTTCAATGAGCAGTTGCAGCTGGTGAAAGTCCCAGCTTCATTTAGGTAAACCTGGGCTTTGTTATGGGTTAAAGCAGCTCTGGAACTGCTAAGCAGCATGTGCCTCTACAAACCAATCAATCTACTCTGCTTGCTTCAACCCTGTGCTGTGCAAGGAGATTGTACTCAAGTGTTCAAAAAAACCCAAAAAACCCCAAACAGTGCTTACTGTCGAAACAGCAAGGGCAGAAAGGCCGTGGTGGCATTCTTCCTGGTTGGAAGAGTGACACAGGGTGGAACAACAGCTCTGTTACTTTGAAGCTAGTCCATTTGATAACTGACATTGTCAAAAAGAGGAGTGACTGTCCCGTCTTTCCACTCGATGAGGATCTCTCCATGCCTCAGGGAAGGGGAGCGGGATGGTGGGAGGTATGGCTGGGGACCCCTTCGTAAGGGAGTTGGCTCCCGTAGGTCAACTCTGCTGCTGTTGGCTGGAGAGCTCTTCAGGGCGGAGAGGATTTTCTTCTTCCTAGGAGGAGAGAGAAGAGGGTACGTAACTGCACCTGCCTGTCACTTGGTGGCTTCACTGGTAATGCCACATCCTCCAGGGTGGTGTGAGCTGTGCAGGAGAGGAGCAGCCAACACCAGTGGCTGCATTTGGATGGTTTAGTGAGTGGGACGGATAAATGGGGTGGCAGAGAGGAGGTATCACCAAGGGTGACATCACTGGTGAGCAGACCCATCTGCTGAGAGCCAGAGACTTCAGGAGTGAGATGGAGAAGGGCAGTGCCACAAGCAAGACTTTTTGTTTTGAAATGCTCAAGTTTTGTTTTAAAGTACTGTTCATGGCAGGCTGAACGAACCTGAATGTCACTTACTTGTTGTAGTGAACATTGAGTGTCAGTATTATTAATCCCAGTATGAATGCCAAGGGGCTGAGGACCAGCATGGCTGTCTTCCAGTTGGTGCCTGAAAGTATATCATATAAAGCATCATGTGTTTGCTGTACCTGTCCCTGCTCTTATGCAATACCCACAATTGACACAAAAAAACCACCTTAATGTCTCTAAAGACTGGCAGATACCAGGAAAAGTGTTTTGTCTACAAGATCAACCTCTTAACAGCTGCTTTACACAGCACCCCTCTATTGAAAATGTCCACAAAAGGATTTCTTTTTTGCTGTGAAGACAATAACTATTCATGCTTCTCCTCTCTGCAGCTTTCTGATACAAAATAGGAAGTGCTGGGGGAAGGCAGCACTGCTCGTAGGTAGGTATCTAATTCTTCTGATGAGCTGAAACAAAGCATTTGCATGTTTTTACTCACTTTTTTACTCCAGGCCTGTGGAGATTTGTTTAATCTTTAAAAAGAGTATTTCTGGCAGGTAATTTGGTGCCCTACTTCCTACTGAGCATCCTCAGCAGTACCCAGGGGAATGTAGCTCTGTTGTGATGGGAAGGACAAGAGCACTGATGAACCTTCATTTACCTGGTCCGTTCCTCCTCTGGCTGATCCCTGGACCTACCTGCAAGCCTGGCCCCAGTGTTTTTCCCTCGATTTCCATGCTTCTTAGAGTGATTCTGGGATACATCTAGGGGAAGAAGCAGAGAGACTCAGATTAGAAGCTTCCAGCTGGACCAGAGAAAACACTAAATTCCTCATGGGGCTGCACTGTAACCACTTCCCTTTGTGTGGACCGAGAAGGGAAAAGGAAACTTTATTGTTCCTTGGTGTTCCCCATCTGTTGGTATTTGTTGCTCCTAAAACATCTAATTGCTGTGCCTGCAGGTGAAGGCTATGGCCATATCACTGAACTGCTTGCCAAGGGGAAACACCTCAGCATGTTTATGAAAGCAGTCCGTGGTACACATGGAACTTCTTCACAAGTCCTCAGTGCACTGAAAATAGTTGAGTAACCTCTAAGTGCTGCCCACACTTTCCTTCCTGCTGTTCTCACATATGCATTCAGAAAAGTGCTCACCCTCATTTGCTGGGAGCTGTGCCTGTCTGGTCCTCACTGGAGACACTGTGCTGTTCCATTTGTTAGCCAGAGGTGGGTCAGTCAAGATCACAGGAGGCTCTCTGTCCACGGCATCGATCTTTGATGAATCAATGGTTTTAGCTTGGAAGAAAATAAAGCAAAGATCTGTGTGATTATCATTTACTTTTTGTACAGGAACCTGAATATGCTCAATGCCCAGCAAGGAAAGGGAACCCATTCCTGCTGTTTTGGTCCTCTGCCCTGCAGGGCAAACAGATGTGGTGCAGTAGGAATCACCTCCTCCTGTGCATCAGTTCTCACAGATTTTAAAAGTGAAATGAACATCTCGAGACTGAAGCAACAACCAAAGCAGAGCTTGTTTTCTGGTGGTAAATACGGTCATTGGTCTAAAAAGTATGAGTGCAACATCAGCTATTAAAGCGTGAGAGGAAGAGGCAAGAGGAAGAATCACAGCTACTACCAACTCTGCGGATGAAAAAATGGGATCAAAAGGGTGCTAAGCAGTCCATACCTCTTGCAGGGCTCAACAACTTCCTTTGCCTTCCAGTCCTACTGCAGAAGTAGGGCAAGTGGGAAAGCAACTGCTGCTAGAGGGGAGGTTGTGGGAATTCCTGGGGCAGCAATTCACCCCTCTCCTGCACTGATATGTGTGGCAAGATCAAGAAACTCGTGTCTTCAGGGCTCCCTGCTGCCTATCTGACCCCCATCCCCTCCTGTGGCATCTGTGGTTACACAATTGTAATTTATTGAGTGAATAACTCGCCGAGGGAGAACTTCTCTGTCGATGATCAACTGAAACTTGGATATGAAATGCCTAAACAAACACATAGGACTTTGATGTTGTTAGTGAGTGGTCAGAGGTTCCCTCCAGTAGACTGAACCATGGGATTGATAGGATAATTATTAGTTTGCATGAGACACACTAACTGGCACAACCTGATTCAAAGCCTGCTCAGTGTTTACCCTCACAGCCTTATTTGAGGATCCTGGCTCGGAGGCAGCCCTGGGCTGCCAGGAACAGTGCCTTGGGGAATGCAAATGCTCTTTTCACATGCCTTTTTCCCATATCTTAAATGTTCCACGCATTTCCTAGCCTATATTTAACTAGCCTATTATGGTATCTGATTTGTATGGTCCATATTTAACTTCATGCTAAACAAAACACTACTTGTGACCACAGTGATAATTACATGTTAACCTTCTAGTTGGCTAATTAAAAATCTTGGGAAGAAGGCCACTGTATCTTCACATGGCAGCCCAAACAGCTAATGTATCTGTTTTTATTTAAAATTAGATATAACCTCTTTGTGTCAAAAGGTTATACTCATAATCCATCTGCTTATGCCAACCAGATTCATCACATTTTCTCTTTACTCATTTCTACAAAGCTCAAAATCTCTTTGGACCATCAACCTTAAAGTAAGGAATAGCCTCCTGTAAGGGAAATAATTTCCCCTCAGGAAGGTTGAGAACCTCATAACCTACAGAGGGGACAAACAAACACAGAAAAGCCACTACAAACACCAGCTTTTTTCTGGTACCTGGAGTGGAAGAAAGGAGAGGATGAGGGGAGGAATTGAGTGTGATTTTCAGGTCTCACTTCTGTACAGAAATCTACAAGAAAACTCCTGAAACCACCATTCTTTACAGAAGGGATTAAATGGAAGAGAGAAACAGACTGGACTATGAATTATCGGTGGTCAGCAGTGGGCTTCACTGAGCATGTGACAAATTATGACAGTCATTGTGGCACAGTGACTATGCCTGTTGTCTTTTAGCCTTGTGTCCAACACCTAAAACTATGACAGGAGCAGGGTTTCTGCCCTTTTTGTGTCCTGTCTAGGCAGAGGCTAGTGAACACTCATGAAGGGAGAGACTAGATTCTCTTAGCAAAGATTAAGGGTATGAAACTGATAATATAAACCAGATTTTTTTATAATTTTTGATGACGTCTTCTAGGATTTCTTACTGCAAAGGCAGAGCAGCACACTGCCTCCCTCGACTTGCTGTGTTCACTAATCTCTTTGTGGTTACTTCAGGCACCGGGAGCAAGGTTCACTTCTGAGGCTCATGACAACACGGAATAAAGGTTAGAATTATGGTTTCATTAGTGAAATGTGCATTGTTCGAGGGAGATAGCTGTACCTTATACAACAATCCTGATTTCAAATAACAATTTCTGATTTCAAATATAGCTACTTCTCAATAATTCATACAAGTTTAAAAGAGATTTTCAGCTGCCTCCAGTTGTCTTGTTATCAAAAATGACCTCCTAAAGTACCAAAAGCCCTTTGAAAGACTAAAGCGCCTGACTTTGTGGGACTACCCTCATTGTTCTGGGCTTGGGAGGCTCAAGCGATTTCAACTATTACTGGCTACGGGCACCTGAAATATTACGTGCGTTCTGAAATATTTGCCTGTCATCAGAAATGCAGCTGGGGTTTAGAGACCTGATCCTGTAAGGTAGTGTGTGCTTTCTGGAAAACACTGAACAGCAGCTACTGCGGGAGCCAGTGGTACCAAGTGGGGCTGAGCTGGAGCCATCTGTTATCTCTCCAGATGGGGCCGAAGTGAACATGAGTTAGAATGATGGATGCAAGCCCAGTGTTAGGTGGCTTGGGTGACATGTAAGTTAGATGTTATCTGATGCTAAATCTACCTCATCTTACTTTCATAGATCCACACATGTGTGTCTACATCTTGTTGTGTTGGCTTGCTGGGCCTCCGAGCTGCTGTCCGGGCAGCAGCACAGATGGTTTCATCTGCTAAAGTCTTCCACCTGCTGAGTTTGTCCTTCTCCTTTGAGACAAAGACCTTGTGGCCTCCCTCCTGAGTGCTGAGGTGGAAGCCCAGACTCTGCAGAGTCAAGTGCCCCTTCTTGCTGCAGGACCATGCCTGGCGTTCCCAGTCTCCGCAGGGCTCCAGCTTGACCACAGCGTTCTCCCGCGCCTTGTGGGCCGACAAGCACTGCTTCGTTTGGAGGCTGACAATGGTCCTGCTGTTGGGGTCCCAGCTCCACTGCTGCTGCTGGGAATGTGCCTTGCAGCTGGTCAGGCTGATGCTGTTGGTGTTGTGGAGGGAGACACGAATGCACTTTTCCAGGCGGGTGTTCCGTATGAGGAAGCCTTGTCCCTCTGCTACTGCGGTACAATCAGAGCACAGTTTAGTATCTGTGCATGACTGAGGTAAACGCCTCTTCTGAGCACCAGACATTGTAAATGCCCTGGGGAAGGGGAGAACGTAACCCACCAGTCCTTTCCTGGGTGGACATGCCCAGATAAACAGTTCCCCTGGCTTCCTAATTCCCCGGAATGGCATTTCTTTAAAATACAGAGTGTGTAAATAGCCCTGAGCAACGCCAGAGAAAAATAACAGCCCACGTAACTAATGGGGAAAAAGCTTACCATCCTTCCAACCTGAACAATTCTATGATTCTGTGAAATACCTGCCAATATATATTTAATTCAGTATTTCAACTGCTTTAATTAGGTACCCATCCTTCCCTCCCTCCAAAATGATTAGATGCTTTGGGGTTTTTTTACCCCTATCTGGGTCAAATCTTTCTTTTAAAAAAGCAATTGAAATTCCCCCAGTGCTATTCATCTGGGGCCAGCTAGGCCACCTTGCACTACACTTTCCATTAAATGGCTTCTGGTGATGTTAAAGCAGCGTTGGGATAAAACCGTTTCCCATCAGAAATGTGTAAGTACTTGGCTGACACTGCTTATGTAAGTTTTGAAATTATCTTCTTTTTGGCACACCTGACTTTGGTCTGTGCACCCCAGGCATGAAGGTACCACTTTTAACAACCCCTTTGTAAGAGAGTGACATTAAAGCTGTCCCACAACAAACATGCAGTTTGAAGCAATTTCTGTAATTGCGTGTTGCTTTTAAGAGCAACAGGTCCCAACATCTCAGATGACTTAGGATTGATATTGTCATGTTATCTGAACAATTGGCCCTGTTTTCAGTATAAAATCGTCAGGTGTGGCCTGTGAACATCCTGAGCAAAATGTTAAATGCCAAACCATCTGTGTCACTGGTGTGGATGTACCTTCTGCTGTGTATTTTATGCCTAAGACAGAGGAATAGAAATAAGTTTCAAGTTTTTGAACATTCTGGAAATCTCTTCATTATAATTAACACATGGTAACTCCCAGCTTTCAGCAGTGACTTTTTTTCCCTGTTTTCCCCAGGAACAGAGTTATAAAAGCCCCATCAGCAAACAGTGCAGAGCATAAAGAGTAAGAGGACGCTGAAAAGTGATGTTAAACAAGAGCACTGATTTTATCTAAACTACTTCTGCAGAGTTTCCCCTCCCAGAGCAAAGAACAATACTTTTCTCTGTAGCAAGTATTTGGCTCAGTACCTGAAAAAATAAGTGACAGTATAAACAGAAGCCAGTACACAATACCAAGGGTATAAACAATAGCTTAAAAGAGCTCTCATGTTTTTCTCTCAGGAAATTCTGGGGTTCTGTTAGATAAATCGTGCCTGGGGGCTGTTAAATCAGAAACAGATCAGGCCTTTCTGCTCCTCCTGAATGCCTGGAGAGAGGCAGCTAGAAACCACAGTACTACTGCACCAGCTCTGAGATGAGGATGGATGTGTCTGCACTGGTATACTGAGTTTCATGGACCTGTGATAGCCACTAATCCAGACAATTCCTGCCAAGCAAATGTGCCTAAATGGAAATTAAATTTCTAGGCTATCTGTGGACACCTTATAAGTCCTGTTCTCTTTTACCCTTTGTGAGGGCTAGGTGGAGATAAGGTATTTAATACACTTTGGACTTGAGTTTCTGCCCATTTCAAAAAGCAGGAGAAATATCTCTTATATAATCTCCCATAATCCGCAGAAAATTGAAATGGATGAACACAATCCCACCACCACCCCACCCCTGCCTTTTTTCCCTAGGATCTGAAATCCAGAACGCTCACATCTTTGCTTCAGTTTAACTGTGAGAAACCCATTTCCAAAATAATGATTTGAGAGCTGTCTAAAAAAAGTAACACGGGAATATGACAACTGTTCTGGGACAGATAAAACATCTGCTGAGCCCAGGATTTATGCTTAAAATGGTTTTCCTCATGTACACTACATTGTATTTTTCAACTCAGAAGGTAAAAAATCCCAGCATTTTGTTGCTTCATTGGTATTATGTTCTTCTTTGCAGTTCCACACAGTCAACCTCAGTTTTTATTATTCTCAATAATTCTCAATTCTCAATAATTTTTTGGCATCAGCAAACTTAATTACTTCATTATTCACCTCTTTTGATTTTTGTCAGCACCCACTGATATCTTCACTCTGCTGTCACCATTGTCAACTTATTCCAGCTCTTTGTTCCAACCTGTGGGCTAAGCCTCTCTCTTACTCAATGAGAATGGAGTTTCTTAAGGGCCTTGGTGGAAGAATCTTATCAAAAAGCCTTTTGCAAACACAAGCACAAAGTCTTGGTCAGCTCACCCCATTTATGAGCTCATTGATGCCCTCATGGATGTCAGATGTCCCCATTACAAAAGCTGTGTTGACTTTTCTCATATTTTTCTGTCTGTCTGTAAATACTGTGCTTTGCTTTCACTGACTTTCCTGGTGCCAAAATCAAGCCTTGTGACCTGTGTCTCCCCAGGCTGTGCAAGGATCCCTCTTGAGAGGGACATCATTGCTGTAATGCAGCCCTTTGGTGCTGAGGTTGCTTTAAATAAGAGTTTACACACTCCTTAGAAGTATGAAAAAATGTCATCTTTAGTTTCCTGTAACTCAGTGTGAATACCATGTGGGCTGGTCATTTGCCACAGAATTATTTATGATTTTTTTTCCTCCTAAAACTTCCTCTGTTGCCAAATTTGTTTGATAACACTCTTCAAACTGCAGAGGGTGACTGCCTGACCATGTCTGAAGTGAGCAGTGGAGCCAATAATCCATTCAGCCTTTCTACACTGCCCTATTTTTGGTTGCCCTTCTAATATTTATGTCAGCTGTTTATTAACCTCTTCACCCCCACCAAATTCCTATTTCAGGTATGCTTGAAAATTTCTGTTGGCAGTTTTTATGTGCCCTCTCTAGGTTCCTCATCTAAGTCTCTTTCTCCTATGTTTTATTACAGGTTTTATTGTAATATGTGCCAGAATCTCTGCTGCTTTTTTCTTTTCCCTGTTTGGCAATGACTGTCCATTTGAAAGTTTTGTGTGTTTTTATTACATTTTAAAGACTGTTGCTGTTTAACCCAGCCAGCAGATGCGTGTTTTGCTCTCTTGTGTACAGCCCCTGGTGTTTTATGTTTCACTCTAAAGAACATGCCCCACACAGTTAAAGCTGGAGTATGTTTACTTTGAGATACACATCAGGCACTAAGAATCTTTACTCAGGAGGCAAAATGACATTCTTTTTCCTGACATTGCCAAGTCCTCACTGTCCAGTGGCCCAGCAAATAAGGCCATCAGCCCTAACATCTTAGGGATGTTAACCTGGAGCAACCAGAGCATCCAATGTACTCCCTGAGGATGGGACTCTGTTTCTGGAAAATACCAGCCTTACCCACAGAGCCCAAGTAGATGCCTGCTTTGAGCTGCTCATACTTGAACACTTAGGCCTCTTCATATTTTTAGGTACAAAATAAACAATTTCTAGCAAGGCTCTTGATGCCAGCTCGTTTGTCCTATGATACTGCCTCTCTGTCTGGTTACAAGATAGAAAAAGCAGGCAAATATAGCCCCCTGCTTCTCTGCAGCATGGCCACCCTTGGGACATGCTGTTCCATGTAGGATTAGGAGCAAAAGCCATGCAACGTTCCTAATTAAGGTAATGCCACCAGTAAAGCCTTGGTTACCAGTAATGCCAGTGTGGCTGGGAAAGTTTCTTCTGTTTCTAGGCTTTTCTGCCGTTTCTGTGATGGTTTGATAGAAGACATTTGCAAATTGTTTGCGGTGGGTTGTCCTCTCTAAAGGCTCTGTGGAGGGAACCAAGTCAGAGCTGAGCAAGCACAGGTTCCCAAAACACTCCAGGTCACCCAGGATTCTCAGCATTGGCTTTGGCCTCCTTTGTCCTCCCTAGTGGGGTTCCTAACACTTGGAAAAATCTTTTAATTAGCTCAAATTCTCTTTGCCAAGTGGGTGTTTTCTGTAGAGAGATGTGTGCTGAGACACAGTCAGAAATTTACCTTTTCCTGCCTCTGCCTGTCCTCAAAGACAGGTATCCATCTGCAGCAGCCATGGCACCTCTCATAGGGACTGCTTTCTGGGGACATCTCACAGCCCAGAAGAGCTCCCATATGTGTCTGTTTTTGGGTACCACCATGTGACAGCAGCTCGTCCAGAGCGACCCAGGCAGTGGCAACAGTGGCTGGGAGAAATGTCTCCAAGCTGTCTGCTGCTTCCACCCAAAATGAGGACAGCCCTAGGGGGTACTTGCACCATGGCCGAGAAACCTCAGATCAGCAGGACCATGGCCTGCCTTACCCGTGAGATAACCCAGAGAGTTTTCTGCTCATGTTAATCTACCTCCACTCTTCTCCACTGCAGCAGATCTTATCTTTTCCACAGAGCATACACCAATGGAGACTGACCCACACAATTCTCATATACATCCCATATGTTTGTCTCCTTGCATAACTCCCCTGAATATCAGCTCTCCCAGGATTTAGGCCCCCCCTTGCCTTCTTGGACTATTGCAGCGGTTCAAAGAGCATGAGATGGGAAGAGGCTTTGGAAGAGTCACATCCTCTCAAGCTGCCCTGTCAGCAATGCTGGTCTTTGCCCTAGCTCTAAAAAGAGCTGCAAAGGACTCCAGTTCCTACCAGAAATATCTGCAGCCCAAAAGAAGTAAAATTTAACCAGAAAATGTGGGGAAAGCCATCTTTAGCTGCACAGACACTGTGGTGATGGGGACAACACCACTCCATACACTGCTACTAATTATGGTACTACTGGTACTACTCCCTTCAGGCAAAGATACAAATGAGATGATGCAGTAGCAGAAAAGGGAAACTCCCAGTTAAGGCAGGAGGATTCCTGGTACAGGTGTTGGCATTGCTCTCTTTGATCACTTGTAAGAATATTACATTGAATCAAACTGAGGCAATCCGTTTGAGCTGCTGTCAGGTATAGACAAACAGGGCCCGGAGTAAGTGAGTAGGAGCAGCGCTGAACGCAGCCCATCAGCAAATCCTTCATATGGAAACATCTCCTTCCATGCAAAGGAGCAAGCCCCTGTCTGCTGCCCATGCAGGACTCCAGCCCAGAGCTGTGGGATGAAGAAATTAAAAGTAGCTGGAAGGCACTTGCTGTCCTAAGAGAAGTATGATAGTATGTGTTTGATCAAAGACAGGAAATCCAGATGTGCACAAGGGAGTGGTGAAATTGGCACTCTGTTTTCTGTTTTTATAACCAATACCAGCATGGCAGGAGGTGAGATTAAGTAATTTTTTTGCAGAACTGCTGTTGACTGGAACCATTTGCTTTATTTTGCCTCAGTCCTCCCTCAGCCTTCAACTGTACTTGCTTGGATGTAAAGTTGAGAGACACAAATGTCTGTGGCAGTTCAGTGCATGTGGCCAATCTCTCTATGGAGAGGACAATGCTGGATGGAGCCTGGTGAGTCCCTACTGGACAGCAAATAGACTTCTGCCCAGCAGAACAGGCAGAACTGGAGCTGGGTGAGCACAGCAGCTGTAGGAGAAGAAGGAAGGTTTGGGGCATGAAAAAAAATATCTGTAAATGATGGGAAGCTGGGGAGGTTGGAGAAGTTACCACAAAGCTGGTGCAAGTGGGGAAAACCAGTCCCTGGGAGGATATGGTGTCTATAAAATCCAGAGAGGTCTGGAAAGGATGGACAGGGGCTGTCTGGTCAAGGACTGATACCAGATGGGACAGGGGGTGCCAAGGGACGGTTCACAGTGTGCAGGAGGTGGTTCTATACCCAGGAGTTGTGCATCCTTGCTGCCAAGGAGTCTGCACAAGCCAGCGGAGGAGATCTGATAGCTACTGAAGAGTTAAACATACTACAGTCAGGAAATCCCCCAAGCTGAAAATAGCTGGAGACTAGAAAATTAAAGGGGAAGGAGAAGTCTCCTATAAGCTTGGCTTTTCTGCCTCTTCAATTGCTTAGGGCTGTCTCTTGAGGTTGGGACATGAGGGATCAGGGATCAGCCAGTACTGCCATGGGCTTGAGGGAGAGGAGAGTGGCTCCTAAGATATGAGATCAGGCCAAAATGCCAACCAGAGCTGCCACCAGCCTCACACTTAGTGCATGAGGATCCAGGGTAGGTGTTGAATGCAGTCTTATTTCAGCAGTTTTCTTTCTGTCTGTATACACACAAATCCTTCTGGTGCCCAACTTCCCTTCGCCCATCCACCCCCACCTCACAGAGTCACCATTAGGTTTGACTTTGTAAGAAAACACTTTAGCTCCCTCCCTGCTTGCAGGTACTGTCCAAAGAAACAGCTGTCAGGACCACCTTAGGCAATTCCAGAATTTTCAGTTTCCAGCAGGAAACCAAACCCTCAAAGGTCTGTCAACAGCAAGCACCTCTGTCCTGCCAGCAGCCTTAAAACTCAGCAGCCCCAGGCAGGAGGGAATGCGGAGAGGCTGCTGCAGGGGGAGATCAGCCCCAAGCAAGAACATGTTTGTGCTCTGCTCTTTGAGCTTCTTTGGGCACTGCCAGGTGTTGGGAAGATAAATTCCTTTCTGGCAAAGCAGTTGTGGTTTTATTAGTGGTCTGGCTGAAATGCAGCGGTTTGAGCACGTGTTTCACAGAAAGCATTACACTAGAAAGGAAATGTCCTGTGATCCTCCATACTTTATGAATAAAACACAGCCAGGAGGCTCCTGTCGTGTGGCAACAGAAAAAGATCACTTTTTTTCTAACACTGGACAAGATCTGCATTAGAGGGAGAGAAAGAGCAAGACTCTAAAGGCTGCTCTGCTTTTCTAACATCCCACCGTGGTGTTATCTCCAGGTCTTAACTAGATCTCCTCTAACTTTTAAAAGATGCACATGTATTGTCACCCCTTAATAGTACAGTGACATACTCTCAGCCTGGGGCTTTACAAAATGAAAGACTCAGTTCACTGGATTTACTCTAATTGGAAAGTTTTGGTGTGCAAAAAATAGCAGAAGTCAAACCTGTAGGAGTACAAACCTGTCCTTTGAGCCGGCTGCAGAGGAAAATAAGGGCTGGCTGCTCAAAGCATTTCAGAGAACACGCACATAGAGATTGTGGAGCAGGGAATGGAAAGTAGCTTGTCAGAGCTACCAGTCTGAGGGTTGTCTTTAAGGCATAAACATCCCAGCTTTGCAGCCCAAATAGTTGTAGTCCTCTGGTCAAGGGATTTTGAACAGCTCTGAGCAGGTAACCTGTAAAACTGCAGGGCTGTTCTCCTCTCAGATTCAGAGTCTGAATGAGCCTTGAAGCACTTCAGGGATTTATTTCAATGAGTCCCTTTCAACCTGACATCTCAGGAATAATAAAAAGGGAAGTGCTTATTAGCTCAGAGAGTTTTTCTTTTCAAGGGAAATAGATCTGCCCAGTGCCCACGATGGGATGGGTGAGACCACAGGCAGCACCGCTCCCAGGTAGCTCTTCCTGGGCAGCGCTGCTCTGGCTCTGCAAGATAACACTCTGTAGGACTTCTGCTTTTTTCATCTACCCATGCATGTCAGAACCAAGGCTGCTTGGGTAAAAAATACTCCTGTGTACGATACAGGGTTTGAGCAACCTCAGAAAGCAGCTGAATGTTAACACGAGCCACTACTGGGTCTGTTCCACGGAGATGAGCAGTGCAGACACTGCAGCTTCCCAGCACATCCTCCTCCTAGACCCCCACCACAAGAGGAGGACAATTACATCGAGGTCCTGCTGCCCTTCCCACCACCCTCTCCTATGCTGCCAGCATGTTCTGAGCCCACTCACTTCTCCTGGGAAGGGGCAGATGGGGCAGAGAAGTCCTTAGGAAGTCACTTAGTGCCTGCCTCCCTCCCAGAGCAGGTTCATTCATCCACCATTCTTAGCACTTTAAAAGCACTTTATAAAAGTGGCTGGCATGATGCCGTGGTGTCCCTGGCCCAACCATCCCAGCACCTTGCCAGCCTGTCCCTCACTCTTCTGTAGCCCTGTGTTTTATCCCATTTTAGATGCTGCCCTGAAATGTGCCTGGAGGCACTTGTTTTACAGCTGGTGGGTTCAGAGCTTTGCAGCCCAAACAACAGTTCAGCAAAAAAGCAGGTTAAAACCTGGGAGGCAGTTCTCTTCCTACTTTACAGCTACCCCGAAGGAGGAGAAACTTACCCTCAAGCCAAGGAAGAAGACAAATACAGCTCAGGCTCAGCCTGAAAAGCTCCATGGTCTGCCAGCACAGCGGGGGAGAAGGAGCCCCCAAAGCCTCTTGCCCACGAACAGTGCCAGGCAGCTCACTTTTCCCCCTTTCTCTGTCATTCACAGCAGAAAAACCTGCTGGGACGAGAAAAACTCTTTTGTCTCAGCACTGAAGGCTTGGCAGCCGGCTTATCAGCAAAGGATCAGCTTGGAGACACGGTCCCGCTCAGCAGTTATCCCTTAGGAGAAATCATATGACGAGCCAGGATGGGGGGGGACACTGGACTGAGATGCTCGTGGCCGCCGAGCCCGGCTCCTTAGCAGCAGCAGTTGCTCCCAGCAATGACAAGCGCATGCTAAGCAGGCTGGCAGGCTGCCTTCCCGGGGCTGGGAGCAGAGGAGGATGCAGGGCTGGCCTGGCAAGGAAAAGCAAAGTTCGGCAGGAATGCCCCAAGGGGCTGGGATGCGCCTGCTGAAACCTTGCACTTGGCTGTGCTGCACCAGGGTCGTTTTCTCTTTAGAGAGAATTATCCCCACCAAGATGATTTTAAGGACTGTTATAGTTCCTGGCAGAGATAAAACCTCACAAACCAGCTGTGGGGGTCCTGGAGCCGGAGGGTGATGGAAGGGGGAGTTGAGCTCCTGGATGGGGAACAGGGTCTTGCTGTGGGTCTGCCCTGATGGTCACCTCAAGGGTTGCTTGGGTAGAGTTTGGCTTTTCATGCATCAGTTTGGACTCTGCACAGTGGGGAAACCACACATCCCTCCCAGAAGAAAAGCAGCAAAGGCTGACAGGTGAAACAGCAGCGAGAGCTGTAATTTTGCTAGTAAGATACTCCCATTCAACCACATCCTTTCCTTTCTGTCCCATATGCTCACTGGGGTCATTCTCACCTGGGGTCATTCTTGCCTTTTAAATGTCTCAAAAACACTTAAAGATGGTGGTTTCCCTTTTACTTTTGGTGTCCGGTCCCAGCTGGCATCAATGTTGCATCTCCCAGCTCTGCCTGTGAGGCCAGGAGTCACTTGGAGGGCTGGGAGTTGCTTCCTTTAGTGGCCAAGCTGTCAAATTAAAACGGCACAGTATTGGCATTTATGCAAGGGCATTGGCTTAGGTCATAGCCTTGCAATGGTGCAACTCTCTCTTTACCCAGCCCTGGGATGATGGCTCCCAGCTTTCCCACTATCAGAAGGGGGATCTGGCTTCAAAGTAGTCTGGCTTCTTCACAGGTGGATCTGCATATAGCAAGGGATATCCTGTGATCAATCAAAGGGGAAGGCTGGGGTAAATTCTTACCCTGGTGGGGTTGCTCCTGCCTGACTGTAGCACTGTGCTCAAGAAAAATATCACAGAACTGGTTTCTTCATGATTACTGGTTTCTTTTCCCTATGGGAATGGGTCAAGCTGCACTAAATACCGGGCATTTTTAATTTTAAAAGCACAGATGTTAAACTGTGCACCGCATGACTGGGACTGAAAATGCAAACACTCTCCAGTGTGTTGTTGGGTGAGTGTGTCCCTCCCACAGGAGAAGGAGGAGAGGAAAGAGCTCAGGTTGAAGAGGTCTCTCCATTGGATGGAGAACATTGAAGCAAATATCTTGGTGAAGAGGGTCACTGTTTTTTTCTACCATGGATCCTGCTACTGCTTTCACCCTGAGAACTGTTTCTCCTGTTTCTCCTCCTGGCCCTTCTGTCCATTTCTTACAAGGGAAGCAGAGGCATGCAGAGGCTGTGATCCGCCCAAAGCCATGAAAGTTGTCTCGGAGCTCCTAAAGCCCAGATTTATCCCAATCCACTCAGTTGCAGTTGCTTTTAAGCACCCAGCAAGCCTTTCCCTGTGTGTGCCTGGGGTTGTCCTCCTTCTGCCAGATGGGGGCTCTCAGGGATTTTTACTGTAGGCTTGGCATGGGAAGGACCATGCAGGGTCAGGCTACAGGTGTAACCCCAGGCCTGAATCCACCAGAGTCCCACAGAGGATGCTGAGGGAAAACTGAGAAAATAGTGTGTCCCCTACACTTTTTCCAGCCCAGGATTTCCCAATCCCAGCATGTTTAGCAGATTTTTTGCCTCTGCATGATAAGCAGCTCAGATTTTACCCTGGGCAAGGCCCTATCACCTCCTTTAGGAGAATGATCACAATCCCATTCCCACTGCTTCCCTTCTTTCTGCAGATATTTAATCTTGCCAGGACCTTCCTTCTTATTCTGAGTCCCCTCTTTTCTTGTTGAGGGTCTTTTAAATTCTGTGCAAAACCTTCAGGAAATCCAGGGGGTTTTCTTCTCCAGAGTGTGATTTGAGCTTTTTGAAGGATATCGTCTTGCTTCAAATAACCGAGAGGTTATTTAAAGCAGGTTAACAGAGGTTAACTTGCTATTAAACCATACTCACTTCCTTGCCCTAAGGAAAGAAAGGAATGGAAGGAAAAGTCTTCATCTTATCTTCTGTGTCACTAATGAAGATATTACCATTGGTCCAGCTACGAACTTCTGAGGGATCCAATGGCAAATCTTTTTTTATGGCTTTGGCAATCCCTTAATGAGATGCAGGATGTTCAGGCTGCTACTGAACAAACCTCTGACACCAGATTGAGGAGACCCCAAACCAGAAACCAATGCCCTATATAAGCCCTGGAGAAAAGTGATCAGTCTTTCTGTCAGCACAGACTGAAAGGAATCAGCTGAACATCAGACACTGAGATTTTTAGGGTTTCAGGACACGATTTTGGCTTTATTTCTTTTAAATGCAAGAAAGTATTTGCATATGCAATTGCTCTGTAGCCTTAGAGCCCATTCTTCCCCAGTGCACTGCCTTGCTTATGGCATGGTGCAGCCTTGCATAGGGAAGCTTTCTTCAAATAGTTTCCACAGCCTTTCCTGGGCTGTCCCTAGGAGACAGCAAACTATTTTCCAGCTGTGGCCTCTCCCACGTGGAGCAGGATAGTCCTGTAATTGCTGGCTCTCAGTCACGTAATTTCCATGTCAGTTAGTCCTTGCCAACTAAGTCCCATGGAACAGCCTTGTTCTTGTCTCCATCATCAGTTTGGTGGGTGCATTGCTTTTTCTCATCGTTTTGCAGCTCATGGTGAATTTAATCAGAGTGAAGTGACCATCAAGTGAAACATCATCTCCTGATGGTGGCATGGTACTAACCACCACATCTTCAGACACAGGGGTCACTCACCAGACACTCAAATGCAGCCCTGTCTGGTCTGGGAGAGGCAATGCTTTTCAGCACGCAGCAGCTTGGGGAGCAAGCAGAGACGAACATTTCGCCAGCTTAAAACTTTCGGGGTGCTCAGGAACAGCATGGCCATCTGTTAGGTTTTGACTTCAGTCTTGGAGCCAGCAAGGTGCTTTATGACACTGGGGACACCAGCAAGCAGCTTAAAATCTGAGCTCAATCCTGTACCCTTATTGTCATCCCAGAACAGAAACGGCAAAACTTGCACTGGGTCTGCAGGGTGAGAAGGACTGGGGTTCTGAGGGGCTCCCTGTTTGTTTGGTATTTTAGGAGTGAAATCTTCCTCTCTCCCTGGGTAATGTCCTTCAGGCAAGGTGCAAATGCTCATTAGCTTTCTTTTCAGCTCTCTGGCCTATTGCAAGTTTTCTCTGCAGTAAAACCTTTGTTCACAGAGAAGCACTTGCCATCAAATGTTTATGAAAAGTAAAGATCCTGTACCTCCAAGAAGGGATGCAGAAGGAAAAAGGTATTTTTACATACCAAAATTCTCCCATGGCTGGGAAGTGGAGCTGGTTTGGGATAAAGCAACAGCTCCAGAGATGCCTGGGTTAGATGTGTCCTTGCTCCTGGTCCCATGTGAGCAGCAGGCTGAGACCATGGGGATCCCAGAGCACATGTGCTCAGTCTGCCTGAGAGCCTTATCTCTCACTAAGTGTCATCAGTGCCACAAGAAGTCCCACAGGGACAGGCATGAGATGAATTGTCCAGGACCCCTCACTCTGCCAGGCTGTTGGCTTAACCCATGCAGAGCATGAAGCGTCCCTCAAGGACCTAACTGGTCCTGCCCTCATGGTGAGTCTTTGGTTCATTGTCACAAGAAAACAGTGACCAAGAGCAGTTCCCCTTCAAGAGCTGAGTCTCTTCATCTCTCTGCTATTGCAGGCAGCTCCCAGGAGCTCCCTCTCCAAGCAGAGCCTCCAGCTGAGCCTGGATCTAGGTGGGAGAAAGCCCAACTGAAACCCAGGTCACTTCCTGGCTTCTTCCTTCACCTGACATGAGCTCAGCTCACTGACTTCATTCAAAGAAGACTGAGATGACAGCACCCTTTTATTCCTCCTTTTCCTGTATTTCCACTTTCTCCCAGTCTGCTCACAGGATTGCACAAAAGGACTTTTTCTCCCCTCACCTGCACTTTGCTTATCGCTCTCTGCTCAGTTTGTTTCTCCATCAGGGGGAAGGCACCTCAAAAATTCCCAGGAGCTTCTCACGAGCGCTGATCCTGATACAAGAGGGTCTGATGATCTCAGTGCTACCGCAGGAATGCCTGATGACCTGCCACCCCACAGCCCCAGGACAAGTCTGGCAATGGTCTCTGGGACTCAGCCTGAGCCACCGGCTCAGCAGATGGAGCTCCTTCCCAAGGATGTCGGCAAAGCGGCGCTCAGCATGCAGCGGGATGCCGCGGCCACTAGCAGCAGCACTTGGACGCTGCGTGCAGGCTCAGGAGTCAGAGAGAGCTCTGAAATAGGGAAAAAGTTGATTTGGCAATGTTTTTTTCTACTGTCTTTGGAAGGAGGAGTTTGTTCGTATAAGAGGACAGGAGTGGATCTTCCACTGCCTGCTCCTGTAGCAATGAGGAATGAAAGATCTGTGCAGTAAACTCTATTTCTTTCCTAGTGTTGAGGAACTGGAGTTCTCTGGATATGGAAAAAACTCAGGTAATATTTTTGCTCTAGACCTGAGCTGGATTTGTGAGACTCCGGGGGGCTTATGGCACTGTCAGGCTTGCACAGGGTAATCAGCTTTGCAGCAGCACCTTGTACAGGCAGAAGCGAGCAGAGTCTGTGCGGCCACCTTCACGCTGAGGTGAGCTAAAAACCCTCCAGGCATCAGGAGCCATGGGGAGCACAGCAGAGCCCCTCAAATCAGGATGGCTTCCAGAAATAGGCCTGCTCAGAGCGGTCTGGTGAGTGTGAGCTGGTGGGGGTCCCTCCATGTCGCTGGTGCATCCCTGCAGGATACAGCCACAAGCCCCCCAGCAGGTCAGACTCTGCTGCTGATATGGGGTTAATATAAAACAAATTCCTGTTTCAGCCTAAGGATCTGGGGAGATCCCCATGGGCCAGCAGTCGAGGTGATGAGGTCAGTCATCACCCTCGCTGGAGCTGTCAGGAATTGCAAAAAGCCCAGAGCTGGGGTGAGTGGTGCACTCAGCACTGTGGGTGGTATTGTCCCTTCAGGACAATATTTCCTGGTGGAGCAGGGTCCTGCACCACTCCAAGAGAGGGATTCTGACTATGTCCTTCCTCTCCACCTCCTTGTGTTGCTCCATAAGTGCTGGCTGCTGGTGGGAGGGGTGCTAGTTGCCCTTGCGTGCACCACAGAGTGCAGAGTGTCCTTGGCAATGTCACCTCACCCTCTGCATCCATCCCCCAGCCACTTCCACCTCGTGTTAAGCCTTGTTGGCTTTGTAGCTAATCTGTGGCAGCTCATAAGATAACCCTGGCTCTCCCTCCTTGGCTGCAGTGATAGCAGACACCTCTTTTCTCACGTCATCTATATGCACAGGAAAAATGGTGAGCAAACCTCCCCCATGCCCCTTTTAGTGATAAATCCCCCATATGACACACATGTTTGCCAGGCTTCTGTGAGAAATGAGAGCTGATGGGAATTGCATTCTACTTTGTGTGTGTTTTCTGTTAAAAAGGTTCATTTTAAACATTCTAAAAGGGCTTGGTAAATGATTAATCAGTTCTTGCAGAGTTTGACAGGGCAATAGTTTGTTTATGACTTATTATGTTTAGCTATCTATGGTGCTTTCTGCTATAATACATTGTATATGCTCCCTTTGAGCACCCCGAGAGTGACTGCTAACTGTCTGATAACCTCTAAAGAAAAGAATTTCAATATAGAAAACTATCCCTTTATTTAAAAAAAGAATTGTCTCCTGATGGGTTCCCCGATGAGTGATGGTCTCCCTGCACCAGCAGGCAGGTAAACATCTTGGATTGGTGAAAATCTGAGGATTTGGGCATCACACAGCTGGAACCTGAACTGAGGCCTTCTGCTACATATGCCAAGAGATCACAGAGTTTGCTGGGGACAGATTTGGTCTAGAGGAAGGAGACTGGGGGAAGGTGCACTGAGGGATTTAGGTGTGTAGCTGCCCTTCAAGCTAGCTGACGTGTTTCATCTCTTTGAAACTCTTGAAGCTTCTGTTTACCTGTAAGAGAGTCTAAAGTCCTGGCTCATTTTCTGCATGTCATGGCACTGGATATGTCAATGTTTAATCTGTGCATGCTTAGATCCTTGGGGTGAGGAATCCTGGCTTCTTTCAGCCTGGAGGACCAACAGTGCCAGATCCATACCAGATTAGCACCCGATCAACCAGCCTAAATATAACACAACAGTGCCTGTATCCCTGGGACACCTGGCTTTCAGGGCACTACTGGAGCATTTGTGCCATCCTTGCTTGGAAGCACTTGCACTCTGTGTGGGTTAATAAAGTACTCACTGGAACAGAGAGGCTTTGCAAGGACCAGTTAAATAGTCACAGGTCAGGAACACTGTGATGCCGTAACCCCATGAACAGAGCAAGGGTAAGGCTGGGTCTGGGCTCTGGGTCACCTCTGTGCACCCCTTGTCAAGAGTCCCTCTCATCCCCCCCTGGGCAGCAGTCAGGCTGCCAGCTAGGTCTGCAGATGTTTAAGAATCTCATGAGCCGTAAGTCCTGAAGGATGGAAGGGCAGCTTCAGAAATTCCTTTTGCCTGGTGCGATCTATCCTGGGAATCCCAGCTTCATGCTGTGCTGCCTCCAGATGTGCCAGTGCCTGCACTCCCCTCTGACCACCCACATCTCACCTCTTCTCTGTGAGGGGCAGGGCTGGAATACCAACTTGGCATTCCACGACATAACAGGAATTAGGAAAACCCAAAAGACCCTGGGGACAGGACAGCTTGGCTCAGGAGTCCTGGCTCCCTCATATTCCACTTTTTTGCCACTGGTCTTCTGCTCCTGGGGAAATCGAGACATTTAAAGCAAGTATCGGGGAGTGAAATCACTACATAGAAAGCCTGGAAACTTTCTTCATGTCCTTTACTCTTATAGGGATTTTTGAGTAATGATGTCCCTGTGTTTTTGGGGTTTTTTATGTGTTGTTTAATATTAACAAAAAAAAAAAAAAAGGGAAAGGGGATAGCCTATCTTTCTGTTCCTTGTTTTTTTCACCTTGGAAAATGGTGCAGCTCATTTCAGAGGAGACTTCTGTCTCAAGGCTGATTGGGAGGGAGAAAGGAGGAAGGAAGAAGGGGAGGAAAGCTCCAAGGTCGGCAACTGAGGACCGACACAGCATATAAAAATCTCTTCAAAGTGAAAAGGTTCTTTTGCCAAAACACAAGGGTTTCAGTGTAAACCACCTGAGCTGGATTCATAGCCATGTCAGGAGCCAGGCCAGCACTGGGGAGGCTGCCGGGTCTGAGAACTTTGGAGCTGCCAGAGTGCCCCAAGTACATGTAACCCAGCCTGCTCTCCAAACCCAGCCTGCTCTCCAAACCCACCCCTGTCCTGGATCACCATTTTTTTGGGGCAGCAGTAACCTCCCTTCTCTCACTTCCCTACGCCAGCCAGGACTTGCCTGGGAATACTTTTTGTCCACTCCAGCTCTTTTTCTCAGCAAAGCCTCACTCACCCCAAGAATGCATTACAAAAATCAGCCAGGCAGCTAAGTTGGGCAGTTGAGGATCTGCTCTGATCGACCCCAAAGGTGGTGACCTCTGGCATTGTTAATGGCTCTCTGGGTGGCTTATCATCTCTGTATACTTAGATACTGATGTCATGGTGACACAGGTAAATACACCCAGCACGTATTGCTGGGCACAGCTCGGATAAGCAAGCTGGCTCTTTTCTCACCTTTCCATATAGGCTGCTCCTGCAAATTTGCATCCTGGTAGATCACACAGATCCCAGGATGGGGCCAGGGAAGCTGTGAGCCCAGCTGCACAGAGTGTGTTGCCTTGAGCCTCCAGCCTCAGTTTCCTCTGCCTGTGTTTTTGTTGCCAGTGGATACTCAGCTGTGCAGCACAGGCTGGCTTGGTGATGCTTGATACAGCTGGAACATGTGTCACCTTCTGTGCATATCACAACAAAACAAGGTTTTAATATAGTCCTGGCCTTGCAACAACTTCAATTTAACCTGTCCTCAAGCTCTGTTCCAAAATATCTTCCATCCCTATTGCACTGTAGTGTCTTGCCTGGCATAAGCCCAGGAACTACAGAATTATAATAAATTAGGACAACTGAATTACAATAAAAAACAGAGATACATATGTAGGGAAACATCCTCTTTTGCCCCTGCCAGGGTAAGAGGGGCTGTCCTGGGGTGATGGCTCTGAGACAGGTAACATGGCAGGCTCTGCCCAGCTGCCCCAGAAAAACATATCCCCACAAACCCACATCTCCATGCAGCTCAGGAAAGGAACAAAGTGCAGGGAGATAAAATATCACTCACCAGCTGCATCCCCAGAGGGTGGTGGGGAATAGCAGGTGAAGCTGGAGACCTCAGCACAGCATTTCTCTGTCTGAAGCAGAGAAGTTGTGGATAGGAGGGGAAATCCAGCAGGGCTTATAATTAATGTAAAAACAGATCAGCTTGTGAAGTCTAGTCTGTATGCTCAGGTACCAGGCACTTCCCTTGGCCCCACTCGCCTCCAGGCTCTGGTCTGACTTTCATCCCTTCATCCTTGCTCTGTGGGATACAGCGAGGTTGCAGCCAAGAGAGGGTCATGGGAATCCTGGCACAGATCTGCTCCAAAAAAAGATCAGCCCAGCTGCCAGTGAACAGGCTGCCACTGGAGAGCAAAGTGAGCCAGAGCCACAGGGCTGCAGACAGAGCGGAGGAGCTGCGGCCCTCAGCAAGATTTAATTTGGTTTCTTGGTGTTTATAGCCCTTTGTTTCATGAAATAACATTGCAGATATGAGTGGCCAAGCTTTGGAAAGGAGGCTGTGAACACCTGCCTGCAGCATCTGGGATTTTCTGTCCACCAGTTCGAGTAAAAGAATTCAGCAGCCAAGTTTCTGCAAAGCAGTCATGGACAGTCGGGTTACTCACCGCCTGGGAAAACATGGAAATGCTCCAAAGGGTGCTGCCAAAGAAAGGCCTGAAAATGACATACCTGTGAAGCAGAAGCCCTCCAAGGAGCTGAGGCCCATGCTTGGGGCCATCTTGCTGGGCCTCATGCTGTTCATCGCCGCGGTGGTGCCCTGGTGCTACTACACGGTGTCCCTGCGGAAGGCGGAGCGGCTCAAGACGGAGCTGATGGACCTGCGGGCAGACGGCTTCGTCATCAGGAACCAGCACGGGGAGGTGGTGTTCCGGCTGGTCTTCCGCTCGGGCAGCCTGGACCTGGAGTCGTGCTCCAAGGAGGGTGAGATCCTGAGCTGCACGCGGTCGAGCCGGGGGCCGCTCAACTTCTTCATCCAGACGGTGAAGCCCAAGGACACGGTGATGTGCTACCGTGTGCGCTGGGAGGAGCTGGCGGCCGGCCTGGCGGTGGAGCACACCATGTTCTGGGAGGACGCCCACTGGTACGGGGGCTCGGAGATGAGCACCCAGCACTGGCCCATCCGCCTGGCCGGTTACCAGGAGCCCGTGCCCTACGTGACCAGCGACGTCTACTCCTTCCGCGACAGCTTTGGCGGCATCCTGGAGCGCTACTGGCTCTCCTCCAAGGCGGCGGCCATCAAGATCAACGACTCCGTGCCCTTCCACCTGGGCTTCAACGCCACCGAGCGCGCCCTCTTCTTCCAGGCCCGCTACAAGGACTCGCCCTACAAGCCCCTGCCGGGGCAGCCGCCCTTCCCCGAGCTCAGCTACCGTGTCTGCGTGGGCTCCGACATCACCTCCATCCACAAGTACATGGTGCGCAGGTACTTCAACAAGCCCTCCAAGATCCCCGCTGAGAACGCCTTCCGATACCCCATCTGGTCCACCTGGGCACTCTACAAGAAAGATATAAACCAGGATAAAATTCTGCAGTTTGCAAAAAGCATCAGGAAGTACCGTTTTAATTGCAGCCACATAGAGATCGATGACATGTACACCCAAGCCTATGGGGACTTTGATTTTGACCCTGTCAAGTTCCCCAATGTGACGGAGATGTTTGCAAAACTGAGGGAAGATGGGTTTAAGGTCACTCTGTGGATCCATCCCTTTATACACACAGATTCCTCCAATTTTGGTGTGGGGATTGAGCGTCAGCTGTTCATCAAGGAGCCGTCAGGGCGGCTGCCAGCCATGGTGGAGTGGTGGAATGGCATTGGGGCCATCCTGGACTTCACCAACCCAGCAGCCCGGGACTGGTTCCAGAGCCACCTGCGCCAGCTCCGGCACAAGTACGGCATCTCGTCCTTCAAGTTTGATGCGGGCGAGACCAGCTACCTGCCCAAGCAGTTCAGCACATTCCGGCCACTCTCGGACCCCAGCATCTGGTCCCGGCGCTACACAGAGATGGCCATCCCCTTCTACGAGCTGGCCGAGGTGCGGGTGGGCTACCAGTCCCAGAACATCTCCTGCTTCTTTCGCATCATCGACCGTGACTCCGTCTGGGGCTACGAGCTCGGCCTCAAGTCCCTCATCCCCACGGTGCTCACTATCAGCATGCTGGGGTACCCATTTGTGCTGCCAGATATGATTGGAGGGAACTTCCTCCCCAACAAGACAGAGGGGGCAGTGGAGATCCCCGACCGGGAGCTGTACGTGCGATGGCTGGAGCTGTCGGCCTTCATGCCCTCCATGCAGTTCTCCATCCCGCCCTGGCTCTACGACAGGGAGGTGGTGGAGATCGCCCAGAAGTTCACGGAGCTCCACGAGTCGCTGGTGGCCCCGCTGCTGCTGGAGCTGGCCGGGGAGGTCACCGACACGGGCGACCCCATCATCCGTCCCATCTGGTGGATCTCGCCCCGCGACGAGGCCACTCACAGGATCGACTCCCAGTTCCTCATCGGGGACACCCTCATGGTGGCACCTGTCCTGGAGATGGGCAAGCAGGAGCGGGATGTCTACCTGCCGGCGGGCAAGTGGCGCAGCTACAAGGGGGAGCTGTTTGAGAAGACCCCAGTGCTGCTCACTGACTATCCCGTTGACCTGGACGAAGTTGCCTATTTCCTCTGGGTGTCCTAACATGGTCCTCATCAGTGTGCAATGGACTCAGTGATTAATTAACCAACAGCTTTAATGACCTGTGAATTGGTATAGTTTTTTACGTAGAAACACTTCATTATGTAATTTGAAGAAAACACTGAGACTTCTGTTTTTTTATGGAGCAAGTGGTGCTCCATAACTAATTAATATATATTGGATGAGTGTCTTTGTTATTGCAGTGTGACAAGTGCAATGTATAGAAACACAGTCTCTGCTCATAATCTTTTCCCACCAAGAAATGCCATGCACGCTTCTTGTTTATAAAGGAAATTACATGGACTCCTTTGTTACCCAGTTGCACAGCTGATCCCCTGAGGTATTTAAAATTTCATGTGCTTAGTGAAGGAGGCAGCTGCAGCAAATTACTTTGTTTTACAAAAAGCAGTCTGTGGTTATCCTGAAGAGGAAGGCACCCAAACTGCAGCCTGCACAACAGATGGGAGCTGATGCAGGCGTGAAGAGGAGTTTACACTTCCGCTGGCTATCTGAGCAAGGAGAAGAAAGCTGCAGCATTTGCTGTATTCTGTGGCAACTGTTTTCCCCCTTTCATGAATTATTGAAAATCATGTCCATGGTGTGGATTCAGGTAAGCCTGTAAATGTGGTGAAATCTCATGATAGTAAAGATTAATACATAGTACCAAGTCAGGATTTAGACTTGATAGGATCCATGTGTGTTTTGGGACCATGTTTAGAGCCAAAGGGTACAATCTGTCAGGTCCCAGGGGAGAACTTGGCCTCCTCAGAGAGTTCAGACAATTAACAAACCAGCCTGAGTGCCCTGCTGCCTCAGTTTTCCCATTGAAAATATTCTCCCACCCTGTTCTAATGGACATCCCTGTCCATGAGCCGGTATTCTGCCCACACAGATGATTTCTCCTGAGTGAAGGTGTGTCAGCAGCTCCTGAAGGCTTGTGGTAGGCAGGTTGTCTGTGAAATGCTCTCCACTCTTGGTCCAACCTTCCCTGCTGTTTTTAAGCAAACAGAAGCTTAAAGGTGACACGTCTGAGCAGTTTGGGAGAGCCCAAGAGTTTCTGGGATGCAATATGCCCAAGAGTCTCTGGGATGCAATGTGCCTTCCCAAAATGAGAGACAGATCCCTTTGCTGACCCCAGCACACTGCTTGTAGGTAACTGGGAGGTAAAGCTCTTGTGTGGCCCCAGGACAGGAGAAAGCTCCCTTCTTTAGGGGTTTGTCCTAGAGCTGATCCATACAAAAGGTAAACAGGGGCTGGAGAACATCGCATTCATTCCAGGGCTGGTTTGGTGTCCAGGTGAAGCAGCCTCAAAACTGGCTCAGACTCCTGTTACCCATCAGGGGGTCCGTTGTACCAAGAGGACTCTGCATGGGCACAGTGGCACAAGAGCAATGCCAAATTGGATGAGCCAGAACATCTTCTAGATGCTCCTGAAAGCAGCTGAAGCTGCAGTAATGCTGTCGCTGGTGTGGCTGAGTGGAGGGACAACCCCACTTTAATCCAGGGAACTGAAAGGGAAGGCATTGCTCAGTCTGCCAGTGTGTTCAGAGTTAACAGGATATCTCTGAATCCTTACCATAGGCTTTCTTCTACTCCAGGACAGTAGTTTCCAAGGAACGCATCTCCCCCGAGGTTGAGAAAGTGTTTCTGAATGCTTCTCTGTTGCTGCTTTGAAGCCCCAAGGAGTCCCTGACATATGAGTTTAGGGGAAGCAGAGGGTCCTGGAGGGGCCCAGCAAAATTCCTCTGGCTGTTGTTGCTGCACTAAAAAAAAAAAAGCTTTCTGCAAAGCTGATGCCCTCGATGCTGAGGAGAGGTGGGAGAGCCAGACTCCAGCCCCCTCATACTGCAACTCTGCCTGTGTAATCAGTGTGTTCTGTATGCACACACAGCTCTGCCACCCACCTGCATCACAGACTGGGTGGAAAAAATAGGCATCACTGAGACTTTCTGCAGACTCTGGGGATGACATGAGATGCCTGGTACCACGGCTGCGAAAATGCCACCCCCATCCCTTTCCAATCTTTCCCCCAGTGCTTTTCCCTGCTGCCCACCCAAGCCACAGGGAGCCATGGGGGATGGGTGCTGGAAGCATCCTGCGAGCAGGTGGCACCACAGCCACCTCTCAACACCCTCCTGCAGCACCAGGGCTATGTGCTGACAGAAGAACATCTTGTTTGCCTTGCTAAGCTTCAGTCCTGATTGATTTTTTGCACTCCCAGTGCTGAGCAAGAGCTCTTTGCTGGAGGTGCTGGTGACATGGGACTCTGCCCCAGCACACGGCTCACCCCAGTTTGCCTATTTTTTGGCAGAGGCAGTTTATTGCCATTAATCTTTGATGATCACTGAGATAAAAACCACCTAGCCCTCCTGGCAACATAATAAAATAAATAAAAATCTCTGGTTTTCTCTACTTGGCCTCTGGGATGTTGCATCAGCCCAGACCATCTTTTTGACTCTCCTGGCACAAGGCATCTATAGGCTGGCAGCTCCCGCCAGGCTCGGGAGGAGCTGAGACTGAGGAGTTGTTTTTTTCCTGAGCTGCCAGCCTGGCCACATGCCCTAAAGGTCTCTGCTGCCGTCAGTTTCTCCTTTTACCACGGTCCTCCCTAGCCCTGGGGTCTGCCTGTGTGTTGTTTTTTTCTTACTTTTAATAAAAGCTGTTATGTTAAGCAGCATGGACATGCTCACAGCTAGGATCTCATAGGTCAGCACCCACTGCTCTGCTGTCACCATAGGCACCTCCTTGAAATCCAGTTATGAACTGGGCTTTTGCTTTAGCCTCAGTGGTGTTTTGACTTTGCCATAAGTGCTCCCCCCTGTGCAACACACAGCTGTGGATGTGTTTTCAAGCACTGCCACTTTAGCTGGGATGCAGCACACAGCTGTCCCCACTTTCTGTCCCCATATCCCCGACGAGCCTCAGACACCCTCTCTACACACAGCACCAGCTTTTGGGAGGATGCAAACCAAACCTAAACCTAAAGCACTGATTCCAAGGAGGACCTCTGCATTACTGAAGATCTGCTGCAAGGGTGTTACTGCTGCAAGTTGCCAAGGTCTTCAGCAGGGCCAGCTTCACCCTCCATGTAATCATCAGCCAAGTGCATGGATGCCACTCGCATCCAAGGAAGAAGTCAAAGGAACAGCATTGGGAAAATGTCTTTTATTGCAAAAGGAGTGAACTGAAGTTCCTCTCATTTCTTAAGCCATGCTGAATGTGTTGGCCAGGGCTACTGATGCCTGATGGCACAAGGCAGCTGTGGTTTGCGCAGTTAACAATGGAAAGGGAAGGAAAAACATTATGTGGGGCAAAAGGGAATGGTGTGGGGCAAGGCAGGCTCTTAAATGAGCTTCACACGCTCCATTCTTCGGACTTTCACAGCCACAAATATCTACTCCATCCCCGTCCTTGCTGTCAGTGCCATCTGGAAAAGGGAATCCTGGGCAGCGGGGACAGCCAGGGCCCAGAAGGACCTTCTGGAGTGCCCGAGGGGAGCTGAGGGCAGGCTCCTCTTCTTCATTTCCTGCAAACAGTCCCAAAGTATATGTTCTCTGAGAACAGCGTGGACTAGTAAACCTCCCAGAGTCAGTGTTGATTAGCCCTATTTGGGTGGATGTCAGTAAAAACAGGGGCACGACAGTATGGGCCCCACCCCCAGGGTTGACACAACACCGGGGTTTGCCTGGACATGGTCTTTTCCAGGCCACCCCTAAGGCACAGCTATTTTCCTTGCTGTCAGGACCTAAGGGAGGGCAATCCTTGATCCAGTGGGATTGTCTGCCACCACTGCAAACACGACAGTGTTTACACTGCCAGCTCCTTTTAAAACATACACCAAAGCTGCAGGCTGCCAGCTTTAATTAAAACAACAAAATTTCAACTGTGATTTCAGTGACAATAAGGGTAAAAAAAGCCCCAGATACCCCTGAACCACCAGCTGAAGCAACTTGGTCAAGATAAACATAGTTAAACTTCTTTTTGTTTTCCAAAATTTTATCTCAATCAGGGTGATTCATGTTACAGTGCATACCAATTAAGAATTACAAAAGTGGTTAAAAACAGACCCACCAGCATTACAGTCTGACGTAGGACAGCATGTGCAAACACAAGCACCCAGGAAACCCAATACACAACAGTGCAAGCTTCAAACTTCCATCACATGAGCATCGCGTGTGGAAAGGCTGAATCCAACTCCCAAACCTGTTTTGGGGCTTTTCCATTGCTGAGACAAGCTGATTCCTGCTTTGGCCAGTGACTCATGGTGTAAATCAGAGAAATCCCCCCACTGGCAGTTCTCAAGGTGTCTTTGCAGAGCTTGTGGTCTACGAGGTCCGAGAGATCCTCAAGTCCTGCAGTGCTACAGCATAGTGTTAGAAGTAGTGGTTTTGGTAAAAAGTTGGATGGAAAGGGCACCTAGAAGCCTGAGACACCTTAAGGCAGCACTGCTGAGTCTATCCCCAACACCAGCCCTTACATCCTCTCAGCAGCTTTATCCTTCCTCTTGCTGGAGTCCTGAATAGCCATACAGCATTTAGAAAAAAAAGGGTACTGTATAATCTTACCCATTTATGATAGAGTTAAATAAAGAGAAAATTAAAACTTTGTTAATAAAAGCCTTTCTTTTGAGGGGAGGGGAAAGAAGACAGTGTGTTTAATGGAGAATTTCCTCCCTGACCTCCCTGACAGTGCCCGAAACCACTGAAAGGAGATTGAAGGCACTCATCTGGCTGCTCCCATCATTTTAATAGCAGAGGGATGCTAAGAGGAACTCTGTGTTTCTCTTCATACAGTCTCATCCTTTACTAGTGAGGGATGTGGTGAGTGGCACAGAAACAGGGGAAGAGAAGACATGCAATATCTCCTGGGACCCTTCCCATGAAGTCATATGCCAAGGATCCCACTTCTGCATTGGCAGCTGAGCTGTGCAGCAACATCTCCTCTACCTAATGACTCCCACACCAAGGGACGACAAGTATTTCAGGTTGAAAGGGAAGAGCTGGAGCC